TTTCAAGTCAATATAGTAATATACTCTAAGAACCTAAACAAATGTTTAAGCCCTTTGATGCATTTATTTAAGACCTGAGAATTTATCTTAAGGAAATAATTGAAAAGAAGGGGAAAAATACATGTACCAGTTTATTCATCACATAATGCCACAATGTTAAATACTGAAGTGATTTAAATATATAATAGGGAAACATATTTGCCCATTGTGTCATATTATGCAATCATTAATTATTGTGAGGACTGCATAACTAGGTAATAGTGAGTAAAAATTAGAATAAAATTTCATTTACTATAATTAGAGTTATGTAAAAGTCTTACAAGTTCAGACAGAGTATAAGGAATATGGGAAAATAGATTATAGTTGTAGAAGTTACAGATTTTGACTTTTTAAAAATTACTTTGTGAAGATTATTTTTCTACAGCTTTATTAAGGTGCAATAGACAAAAATTACATATATTTAAGGTATACAATGTGATGTTTTGAAATAAATATACGTTGAGGAGTGATTACCACAGTCAAGCTAAATAACAAATCCATCACCTCACATAGTTACTCCAGCAAATTTCAAGTATATAGTATATAATTATTAACTAGTCACCAGGCTACTGTGCATTAGGTGTCCAGAACTTATTCATTGTATAGCTGAAAGTTTGTGCACTTTGATAAATAGCTCTCCTTTTCCTCTACCATCCAGCCTCTGGTAACACCATTCTATCTGTTTGAGCTGGGTTTTTCTTTTAGATTCCACATAGAAGTGAGATCATGCACAATATTTCTGTCTGTTTCTGGCTCATTTCACTTAGCATGTTCTCTGGGTTCACCCAAGTTGTTGCAAATAGCAGTAACTTTCTTTTTTAAGGCTGAATAATATTCTGTTGCATATACAGTGTATAAAATCCCAAACTACAATGATTCGATTCTAATTAACAAGTTTTTTACTCTATGATGGTTCCAAAGAAATATGCCTTCAGGAGAAACTGTACTTCACATTTTGAAGTTTGATTTTTTTCCCAGGCTATCGATATGTGATATGATAGTTTCAAAATGCAGGGCATCAGCAGCAGTGCACCATCATGAGAGTAAACAACTGATACGCTGTAGTGTATTATACAATATTCAACAAATTAAATGAGACACTTGGCACTTTAAGATAAGATGAGCTTTGTGTTAAATGATTTTGTCTGACTGTCAGCTAATATAAGATCTGGAACATGTTTAAGGTAGGTTAGGCTAAGAAGATTGGTACATAACATGTATTAAATGGACTTTACTTGTGATCTTTTCCATTTATAATAGGTTTATCAGTATACAAACCCATTGCAAGTTGAGGATCATTTATCTGTACCACAGCTTCTTTATCTACTCATCCACCAACTCAGCTTAGTTTGTTATTTTTACTATTTTATATTTTATAAAATATTTTATATTTACTATTTTACAGCGTTATTTTTACTATTGTGACCAATGCCACATAAACATGAACGTACAGATACCTTTTTAAGGAACTGTTTTTATTCCCTTTGGGTACCTCCCAAGTAGAGAGGTTTCATACAGTAGTTCTATTTTTAATTTTTTAAGGGACATCCAAACTGTTTCCAGTAATGGCTGTACCACTTTACATTCCCACCAAAAGGGTACAAAGTTCTCTTTTCTCCACATCCTTGCCAACACTTGTTGTATCTTGCCTTTTTGATAGTACCCATTCTAACAGGTGTGCAGTGATAGCTCATTGTGATTTTGTTTTCTATTTCTCTGATGCTTACTGATGTTGGACATCTTTTCATTATCTGGTAGTTATACATACATTTTTGGAAATATGCATATTCAGATCCTTTGCTCATTTGTTCATCAAGTTATTATTATTTTGTAATAGAGTTGTTCATGTGAGTATTTTCTAAGTTGAAATTTTATAGCTGTTCCTCTCTTAGTAACCACTACCCCCACACACTAGCCGCCCCCCCCCAGCACATGCTTCTTCACAGAACTTTATCCTTGTGACTGTCTTGGATCTCATCTGAGGAGCCATGAGTTCATGAGGGACATACGATCACATTAATGTGGTTCCACTGAGCAGAAAGTTCCAGTTGGCTGACAAACTGTTGTAATCAAGTTGATACTTTTGACACAAATTTCCTAAATGTCTAAAAAGAATGCCAAGCTCTTCTGAATGAGGTGATGACAAACTGATAGCAACAAGCTTGAGAATAATTTCCCTTTGTTAGTGATGAAAAAAAAAAAGAGGTAAGATGGAAAAGGTAAGAGAAAAAACAATCTAGACTGACAACTACACAGTGAACTATGAACCCAGGAAAGGAAACCCAAAGGTCAGGATGATTTTGTTCCCTGATACTCCATGTGATGCCACAACCAGCAAGACAATAGGGAACTGTTATCACACAAAACAGATCGGAAAACACGGAAAATCAGAGCTGCCAGACACTTTTGAAATGTCTGAGCCTCCCTTTTCTGAATTTTCTTTTCTTTTACGTAAGTTACCCTTCCACTTCTCTATCCATTCTTCTTACTCCTTGACTGCCAAAAGCACCAAGTAACTTCTTGCTCTCCCTAGGGACCCCATTCAAACCCTGCTCAGGAAAGAGAAATGATTAGTGTCCCTTAAAGTGGTCATTTCTCACCTTCCATTATATTTTGTGTGGAGATGTAGTAGAACCTCCTTGATTTTTGCTTCCAGCATTCCTTTCTTAGTGTTATGCTGTTAACCAAGTCATTCCCACATGCCTGACCCAAGCTGGACCAACACCCAAACACGGTGCCTGTGAGAACAAGCCCTAGAAGGAAATGCCAGTTATCTGGTCCTTTTCTCTCCTTGATCCTGTAGTGCTCTGTATCACAGAGGGCCTTCTAAACACCAGAGACTACTGGCTCTGCAGGCTTTTGGCTAGCTGCAGCCAGTGGAAGATATGTTGAGAGACTATAGGGCAGGAAGAGGTAGGCAAGGACAGGTTGATTCTATCCCCTGGCTCTGGAAATCCATCTTACTTTATGTATTTGGCCTGAAAGAGGTATTATCTTTCTTCTTTAGCTAACTTCTGAGTTCTGTAGCACTCCCCATTTGCCTCGGAACTTTTTAAACACCATAAACCAATCATCTGCCTTAGATTCTCTCGATTTTAAGTATTTACTATGCTTTCTGATTTATTTTTAAATAAATAGAATTAGAGTCATTCCATTGAAATCTGACTTACCAGTGCCAAGAGAAAATAGGTCTTTCTTCCTATTAGATCTTAAGGCTGTAGGTTTGAGGATGCCAATAGCAATTTCTAGCTACTTTATCCCAGTTTGAGAATAAAGACAAGCAGAAGCACATGGAGACAGGAAATAGAAAGAATGCTGACACATTCTTAGAACTCTAGAGCTAGAGTTAGCATTATCATGTATCTTAAGTTCCAAACCAGAGCACTTGAAAGTAAGGGGGGCTGTTAGTAATGTTGAAGACAGGACAACAGGCACAAATTGAAACTGGTGCAGAAAACTGGAACATAGAGTGACTCTACCTAAAACCAGCTTGGTCCTTGGACTATACATTAGTTGAGCCAGTAAATTTCCTTTAACCTGAGTTGTATTTCTATCACTAAACTAAAAGATGACCAACCAGTCCATTAGATAAAGGTTCAAACTTCATGAACTACTTCCTACAAGTAAGATCTCAGGACAGGTGGAAGAATATCACTATCTGCCTGAATTGGTCTCTACAGTTGCACATGGAGCTTGCACATTTATAGTACACCTATTTTATGAATATTATATAGAATTTTAGTTTGCCAAAAATTAAAAAAAAAAAAAAGACCCACTACATCATGAAGGAAAACTATATACTCCACTGTCAGGCTAAGTATGGCTCTTTGATGAGTTTTTTTTTTTTCACATTAAAAATGGCCCTTACAAAGGTATATTTTCACCTAAATACAAATTTTGTGTCAACCACATCTTATAATTTTTCCTGTAGCCAATCCCTATCTAAGTGCAATGCCAGAATACCACTAAGAACACTAGTCTTTGAGAACTGCTTTTCTTCTTCTCTTCCCTTCACTTTTTTCCATTCTCTCGTAAGATCTTGTTATATGTGTCTTGTGTAGAAATCCAACAATCATTTACAACTATTTCTGAGAGAACACATGTTCTTCATGGACTGGCCAGAAGGATTTGCCAAGATCACATAACATTTGTTATTCTCTTAGTTCATGTATCACAGCAGCTGCATAGTTTTATGGAAAACAGAAAGCAGCAATTCAAAGTCTTTATCGCCTAAGTCCAGTGGGAGTGCTCCCCACCCAATGGAGTCATTTTCTACTTAGGAAGCCATTCACAATGCAAGTGTTTGAAATTCTTTGAGCAGTAAGAGCTTCTAAAAGCCATAAGGGGTGATTATGGCTAACATTTTAGCTTTGTGAGTCTCAGTGTTACTTCACAATAAAAGGTCAGACATTTTAAGAACTGGAATTATCCAGAGGCTTTAGCAACCAACTAATATATCTCACTGACCATTTCTTGCAGAGATGACTCCTCTAGTCACAAAACATGCTTTCTTCTATAACAGAAAAAAAAAGAGTATCCAAAACTTAAACCTGCGTCAAATAAAAGTACAAGCCAAAAGTATGACATATACAAGCAACTGCAATCCTTCATCAGGAGTCATTTCATTCTAGAAGGTAAATTTTTCTCCTCATATCTTTTTTAGTAAATGGTAAAATAATTTTCTATAGTTTCTACATTTTTGTCAAAGTGTGTCACATAGACTTAATGATATAAGGAATGATGGTCATCTTGAATGCTGCATGGAATTGGCCTTGTTGAAGTAAGAATTTATTGAATACCACAAATCCATTATCCTAATGATAAATAAACAACAGGCATTGCCAAATTGTTAATCATGAGAGAAATGCATTTAGGAAGACTAGAAAATAAAGTGAGAAAACAGGTTAAGACTCACATGAGTTGGATAAAAACCAGACCCAAATAGGTAATAGTTTTACTATCTAGATGCTTGAGCTTGTTTGTTCACTTTTAGTGAGTTCTGTCTCCTCGGTCATTACAGATGGCTCCAGCAGCCTGAAATGTTCATGTAGAACTGGAAAGGACCTGAGCATACTATACATCCTTACATGCAGTCTTAGCAAGGACATTGAAGGTGGTGGTTTCATTCTTTCAAAAGATGATGACAGCGACTTCAGTACTTGCGAAGCTTCCCTCTGGAAGATTTTTGTTCTAATAGTATACAGGATAAAAATTTGCAACCCCTGAAAATAGAATAAACATTTAATGTTATGTTCTGATGCAGTGCAGAATGAAGAAAGATTGTACTTCACCCTGCCACCCCTCCTTTTCATCTCGCACAGCTGCTACCACTTGAGTTTGCAGCCAGAAAGCATGTCCTTCCTACTTACAAAGTGCCGCACATAATAGAAGATTTAGAAGACCTGAGTTTGTGTCCTGGTTTGCCACTTGCTGGCTGTATAACTTTTTTCATTTCCTAACTCTATGATCTTCAGTTTCCAGAAGGGGGCAGATTAACTCATTTTTCTTCCGTTATAGCATTCTGTGATTCCAGATTTCTTCTAATAACATAACTAGAAATGTGATGCACTTAATAACAACAAAAAATTAAACCCTTCTACTCACTGCTTTTCTGTATTTACATGTGAAGACAAGATGAGCATGAGGACTTGAGCCACAAAAAGCTGTATTAAATTAAAACTTCCATTTACTGAAGTCCTATTGGCATCAGACCTTTGTTTCTCATTCATTCCTCATAATTTGATCTTTCTCATTTAATCAATGTATTATAGCTTCTGAGAGGTCTTTCTTAATTTCTAGCATCCTTTGTACAAAACAGATTAAGTATCTACTGTAACTGAGTTGATGATATTGTACCAATGTCACTTTCTTGATTTTGACAATTTATGTTAGTTATACAATATAATATTGGCAGAAAGCTGGGCAAAGAACACATGGGAACTGTACTATTTTTCTAAATTCTTGTATTAAACTACTTCTAAATAAAAAGTCATTTAAAAATAAACAAATAGCCATAAATGTCTCCCAGATTGTCATTTACAGTGCCCCAACCCTTATCAGGATTTATTTCTAGAATAAATATAGGAACTTTTGGTGCTATAGTAGGATAACCCAACAACTCTGATAATTTGATTAATAAAATTAACATGTCAATTCAAGAAATAGGAGTAATTCTCTGGCCAAAAACAGGAAGAGTAACTTGATTGTGGTATGTACCTCTTCAGAAGAAAGGCTAAGACACAAGGGAATATGTTTGGGGAAACAAGTTTCAGAAAGACAAAAGTTTTGATCATCCTGATTGTTGAGTGGAAAGAAATTTGTTTTGGGCACAGAAAAAATCTGGTTACCAATAAAGCATCTTTTTTTGTGAAGCACAGTATTTTATTATTTGGTTTTTTTCAGAATTTAAATTCTAAGGTAAAACAAGATCAAATCAAAATATTTATGGTTGTATATTTTTTAGGAAAAGATCTTAGACTGTGAGAATTCAAAAAGACATCCTGTGGGATCCTGTCCAGATGGACTTCCAATGTTTCTGTGCTCCCTAAAATTCCAAAGATGGTACTTAAAAAGATTAAATATGCAGAGCAACGTGGCTATCACTAGTAAAAATGTCAGATTGTGCCTTTTTAAACATCGGTGGTATTTAGTAAATTCCTAATGGAATTTAAGAACTGTAAATCTAGAAGGGGCCTAGATATGCTTCTAGTGGAAGTTAATGTATATGTCACTCCAGCGGTGCTTCCATTGGTGAACCTTAGATGAGGTGAATCTACACCCTTCTGTATGTGAGCTAATCTGTTCATTCCCACACATTGGTGTTCATAAAAATCTCTTGGGTTCCTTGTTTAAAGCAAGATCCCCAGCTCTTACCCTGTACATTATAATTATGCAGGTAAGTAACAAGACCTAGGAATCATCATTTTCACACTATGTAAGTTCTGATATAACAATATCCAGACCCATTTTGAGAAGCATTGTGTTGATTTCTCATTTTATATTTTACACACCTCATTCACAGAGGTTGTGTGACTTTCCTAAAATCATATCATTAATTAACTAATTAATTAATGATTAATGGTGAAGCTGGAAGGCAGCCTAAGTTTCATGATTTTTAGCCTAGTACTCTTACACATTTCCACCCTCAAGTTTGCTATGTAGTATTAACATTGTGTAATGAAACCATCTTTTGTAATTTGCCTCTCCTCTGCATGGAGTAGAGAATACCCTTGACTATGCCTCCTTCAGATTCTTCCCTTAATTCCTGTGCACTCTAGGTAACAAGCCCATGGATAAATTGGCAATCCTAAACAAAATTTACCCCATTACTGCCCTTCTAAAAAGCTCCCATTGGAAAGAGCTACTTTATATGTTCTAATTTAGTGGCAGGCCCATACCCATTTTCTATGGGAGTTAGTCTGAAAGGACAATGAAGAAGACTATCGCCTGAGTTTGCATGGTCATTTTCATAGTGGTCGCAATTCAGCCAAGCAGCTACCTGCTCCCCTATAGAGGGCTGGTGAGGAGAGCCACATAATGATCAGGAAATAAACTGGGAGGCTCCTTTAAAGCCTATGTTCCACTGTACAGGTATACACATGGCAATTTGGCACTTGTAATTGTAGCAAAAAAGAACCAAATTCTGAATTTCATGTCTTCTTAATTTAAATTTCAAAACTGGCACTCAATTTAGTGATCTTCGGAATGCTTGTGTATTTGGGGAAAAACTTGGGTATGAATTTATTCTTCTAACTATAGCTTTTATGCAATCTAAAAATAGATCAAGTATTCTCACTAAAAGTTTAGCATTCAAATGATAGTGTACTATAAGAGTGAAATACACACGGCCTTAGTATTACTAAAAGATTTTGAGTATCTCATTAATAATTTTTATATTGAGTACATGATGTAATGTTGTTATTTGCATTGTAATGAGTTAAATAAAACATGTTACTAAAATTTAGGAAAAAAGGTAGCTTAAATGCTTGTCGATAAAACCAGTGCCTAGCAAGTGTGAGGCCTTGAGTACGACCAAAGAAAGAAAGAGAAGGGGGAAGAGGGGAAGGGAAGGGAGGGTAGAGAGAGAGAAGAAAAAAAGGAAGGAAGGAAGGACGTTTACGAGACCCCATATCAATCAATGGTGGCAAATCATCCCACCTACATGGGGAGCACAAACAGTAGGATCCTTGCCCAGGCTGGCCTGGGCATAAAGTGAGACCATATCTAAAAAAATAACCAATGCAAAAAGGGCTCGTGGAGTGGCTCAAGTGGTAGAGAACTTAACCAGGCACAAGACTCTGAGTTCATTACTCCAGTACCACCAAAAAAAACAAAAAATTGAAAAATAAATTAAGTAACCCACAGCATTCCAACAATAAGTAAAACTGACCATATCAACCATGGTAAAGAGCTTCCATGAAATTGTTCTCTAGGAGAAAAATAAAGAAGGTGTTTCCTAAGTTGTCAGCTTGATAAAATATTTTCTACTCAAAAAGAGTAGAGTACCCTATTGTAATTTTGTTCTATGACCTTCAGATCAGTAAATGACATAGTAAGTCATAAAGGGCTTCTATTCTTACTCCCACAAAGTGCATTAAAAAATAGAATCTTTTAACGATAACTAAGCAATGACCTTCAGGGCATTTTTAAAAAATAAAAGAAGGAAAACTTTGGTCCAGGGGAATATTATCCCCACTGCTTCATGGTCCACTATTTTCAGAAGACTATACCATACCTGAGTGGTATTAAAAAGGCAGAATATGTAGCTGAAGATAATCCTGATGTCATCATTATTAATTAGCATAAAGTAAGACAGAACCCAGGTAATTCCAAAAACAACTGCAATAGATAATGTGCTGAGCATCTTCTTTAGGGATGAAACCTTTTTTGTGCTAGGTGAAGGAAAACAAGAAAGAAAATATGACTCATTAGGTTATCCTTTTTCATGCATATTCAGCCATTCATATCCATTGTTATTTTTAAAATATTATGCCTCCTATTCACAATAGCCAAGTTATGGAAACAGCCAAGATGCCCCACCACTGACAAATGGATTAAGAAAATGTGGTATCTATACACAATGGACTTTTATGCAGCCATGAAGAAGAACGAAATGTTATCATTTGCTGGTAAATGGATGGAATTGGAGAACATCATTCTGAGTGAGGTTAGCCTGGCCCAAAAGACCACAAATCATATGTTCTCCCTCATATATGGACATTAGATCAAGGGCAAACACAACAAGGGGATTGGACTTTGAGCACATGATAAAAGTGGGAGCATACAAGGGAGAGGTGAGGATAGGTAAGACACCTAAAAAACTAGCTAGCATTTGTTGCCCTTAACGCAGAGAAACTAAAGCAGATACCTTAAAAGTAACTGAGGCCAACAGGAAAAGGGGACCAGGAACTAGAGAAAAGGTTAGGTCAAAAAGAATTAACCTAGAAGGTAACACCCACGCACAGGAAATCAATGTGAGTCAATGCCCTGTATAGCTATCCTTATCTCAACCAGCAAAAACCCTTGTTCCTTCCTATTATTGCTTATATTCTCTCTACAACAAAATTAGAAATAAGGGCAAAATAGTTTCTGCTGGGTATTGAGGGGGTGGGGGGAGAGGGAGGGGTCGGAGTGGGTGGTAAGGGAGAGGGTGGGGGCAGGGGGGAGAAATGACCCAAGCCTTGTATGCACATATGAATAATAAAATTAAAAAAACATATTATGCCTCAGGTGGAAGAACATTGATGCTAGATCTTACCTCACTCTAGAGAAAGTATGAGTAGCAAGCTTTGCTTAAGAATACCTTACTACCCATTTAAAAGCTTGGAGGGAGAAGGATATAAGGAAAGGTTGTAAGAGAGTGAATATCGTGGAAATATTACCTACACATGTATATAAATGGAAAAATGAGATCTATTGAAAGTATTCCAGGAATGGAGGGAGGAGGGATAAAGAAGAATGATGGAGGGGGTGAATTCAACTATGATATATTGTAAGAACTTTTATAAATATCACAACAAAGCCCCAGTACAATAATAATAAAAATGAAGATTAAAAATTAATAAATAAGAGCTCAAGAAAAAACAATTCTTTACATGCTTTACTGCAGGCAAATTTCACTAAGAATTAACTTTTTTGTTGGAATGGAATTATGATTACATGGGTATTCCCACAAGATCAGCCAGTGAGGACTTCCTCCTGTGTGGGGGGTGGAAGGTGGGGTTGTTTTCTGGGATCTTGCTATGCCTTGGGTTTATATAAGAAAAGTTATTCAAATACAGGGTGATCTTTTTCCCTCTCATGAGAAGTTTATGCTTTTGGAATCTGGTGTTGACTGTTACACTTACTTTGGCTAGTAAAACACTAGCAAATGTTATAAGAAGAGACTTTAAGTGTCATTAGAGTTTGCTTCCTTTCACTATTCTTTGGAATCCTGAGACCACTATATGAAGAAGCTAGGATTGGCCTAATGGAGAAGGAAAAAACAACACAGAGCAGAAATGAGTTTTCCCAACTATTCAGATGCTACCCAAACCCAGTCATCTACCAACTGCCAGAAATGGAAGTGAGTCACCTGGCTCATCCAAGACTGAACAACCACCCAGACAATGCTCAAACTAGTACAAAAAACAAATATTTGTCATTATAAGCCACTAAATTTTGGAATGATTTGTTATATAGTTAACTAACTAGCATATGAAAGATAATTAGTTAAACAATTAAGTTATACATGCTTTTCATTGTAACTAGGCCAATTTAAAGAACCATGGGCTATCAGTCAGTCAAAATTTAGAAATAAACATGTGATTGGTGTTTGTGGTCAATAATGATATTGCATAGAATCTAATTTGAAATTAGGCTAAGAAGTCTTTACCAAAGTTTTTCAGCACTACTACTAATGCTTGTCAGTGATGGCATATTCCTCATATTTCCCCTTAATTATGCATATAAGAAAGATAATACTTACTTTTGATTTGTAGAGCACATTATTTGATATTATATTCTCACCAGTGAGGTTGGTCTGCATTTACCTGTTCACACCAAGTGGATCTATTTGTGAGATTACTGAATGTTCACAGAAGCTTTTATGGTAAACATATTTGGGATAAGCAAAATCTTATAGAATTAAATCTGAACTCAAAACCTCATTAGCCCTGTGTTCTGACCAGTTTGTGCTGTGGAGATAGGGCTGGGGTACAGAATCTATGTTTTTCATAGTTTATGTTCTTTGTCTCTCCAACCAAAAGCTCTCACTTAATATTAGAGATAACAATGAGAATGCTTATAGGGATCAGGAAGATTATAACAAGGAGAGGAGCAGTCTGAATGGGAACCAGTAAGCCAGAGAGCACATGACTCCTCGTTGGGAATATGGACTTAGTGCAGCCAGATGCTCAAGATTTTCAAGAAAATTTTCATTTTTAAGTGAAATGTCCAAACTTTCATATATTTACAATGAATTTTTAAACATATAAAGCCATTGTATAATTCAAACTGTATGTATAATGTACAGCCTACAAACACTGGTTTATGAAATGAAAATGCAGGAACAAGCACCTCCTCACAACTCTTTAATTATTCAACACTGACTTTTGAATATTTGGGTCAGGGGGAGGGAAAAATATCTTTCTTGAAGGCTCAGGATTTAGTTTTTCATTGGGCTCATATAACACAAATATGTGATGTGTAATGTAGTATCCCCACATAGTAGAACTAATGTTAGAGGATGAGAAGATCCACTTCCGGAGCCAAAGTTTATACAAAAATCTCTCTTAAACCCCCATATACCTGCCTTTGTGTTAGAATTTGAAAACTTTCAGAAATCATGTACACATTATAATTCTGGATTTGCTGCTGGATTAGTCTTGCCTAGCAGCTTCGTACTCATTGAGAATCTTACCTGGTCAGATTCTGGTTATTCTTCCACAATACTTTCACTGTGATCATAATAAATATAACAATATTCATGATGAGGATAATGGTTATAGGCATGATGAATGACCACAAAAATGAACTTGCTATAAAACCATTGCTGTTTGAAACTGCCAGCCAGCAGCTGTGGAGAAAATAAATTATTTCAATAGACCTAGAAAGTCATTAATACTGGTTCCTTATGGCATTAACACTGACACTCACTCAACTGAAATTTGACTGAAATCACTTTCAAGAATTCAACCCATTGTGCCCGGTGTGGAGGTACACACCAGGAATCCCAGCATTCAGCAGGCTGAGGCAGAAGGATCATGAGTTTGAAGCCAGCTTGGACTACATAGTAAGACCCTGTGCAAAAACAAATTGAGCACACTAAGGTGGGTCATGCCATATTTCTTTATCAGTCACAAGGAAGCTTTTGAGCTGTCTATTCAATGAGCCTTGAATAATTATTATTATTTATTATTATTATCATTATCATTATGGTACTAGGGATCAAACCCAGAGCTTTGGGCATGCTAGAAAATAGCTATACTGAACTACACTGCCAAGCTGACAGTTCGGAATTTAAGTCACTCCCTAGCATGTTGATGAAATAAGCCAAATTCAGAAAGATAAATGTGGCATGTTTTTGTTCATATCCAGAATCTAGACCTAAGAAACAATAATAATATGGCATGCTTGTAAAAGGGGAACTGTTTTGAGGTGGGAACCATTGGGGGGGGAAGGGGGCAAGGAAAGAGTGATGAGAGATGAATATGATCAAAGTACATTTTATACATATGTATGCAAACAGCATAATGAAACCCACTAAAAACTGTCAGAGGTAAGGGATTAGGAAACAGCAATAAAGACAGGATGAATTTGATTAAAGCACATTATATGCATGTATATAACTATCACAATGAAACCCCTTTATACAATTAATTTATGCTAATAAAATTTTTAAAAAAATAAATGTCACTTTGAGATATCTGATGGTAGGGAGTTACTATTTTATTTTACTTTTGAATATATAACTTATCCACATGGCTTAAAATATGAAACCTACACACTGTCATAAAGGGACAAAATTTCTTTTTACATTTGTTTGTAGTCACCCATTTTCAGTCAATGTTTCTTACGTATCCTTCTATATTTGGGCTATGCCTAAATCAGCAAATGCATACTTTGTTGATTTTTAAACAAATGGCAACATTCAATACATGCTTCTATACCTCACTTAACAATATATTATGGAGATCATTCTATCACAAAATATAAAAAGCATCCTCATTAATTTTCATAGCTACTTATTAGTCCATTATTTTGATTCCATTGCCATGCCCAACTTATTTTTGAGATCAGGTCTCATTAACTTGTTTTTTTCTTTTTTTTTTTGGCAATACTGGGGTTTAAACTCAGGGCCTTGCTCTCGCTAGACAGGTGCTCTACCACTTGAGCCATGCCTCCAGTCCTTTTTGCTTTGGTTGTTTTTGAGAGAGGGTTTCATGTTTACACCCGGCATGGCTAGACAGTGATCCTCCTATTTATATTTCTGGTACAGCTGGGATGGCAGGGGCATGCCACGATGCCCAGGCTTTTATTTGTTGAGATGTAAAATTCATCTTTAGGACTTCTAGCTGCCCTTTCCTTTCAACCATGATTGGAGGATAATTGTTACGGTTTTCATATGACGAGACCCTCAAAAAGTTCATGTGTTGTGTCTCCAGCTGATGGCGAGAAGTGACTGGATCACAAGGGTGTGCTAACTACACCATTGAAGGGTTCATCCTGACTGAACTACTAGAAGAGGGTGGCTTGTTGTAGGAAGTAGGTCATTGGCGGGTATGCCTTGGAAGGGTATATCTTGTCCCTGGTCTCATCCTATATCTCTACTTTCTAGCCACCATGAGGTAAGCAACTTTGCCACATTAACAGGGCCAGGTGATAAAGGACTGAAACCTTGAAACTGAATCTTTTAAATTGTTTCCCTCAGATATTTTATCACAGCAATGAAGAGGTGACCAATACAGCAAGCCTTTTGGCCAGTCCCTCTTCACAACCCCATACACTGAAAGAAAACAAACTACTTGTCTAATAATTTAATGAAATCTTGCTGAGATCTACTTCTAAAAGTCTGGGAGCCTCTTTGGTGACTAAGTGGCTGGCAAAATTTTTCAAAGAAAATGATGGACCCATTTCTTATCCAGGACTTAGGGAAACGGATTTTAAAAGGGGAGGAAAGGATAAAGAAAGAAAACAACAATCACACTCTATTTTATTTTATTTATTTTTTATTGTTTTATTATTCATATGTGCATACAATGCTTGGGTCATTTCTCCCCCCTGCCCCCACCTCCTCCCTTACCACCCACTCCGCCCCCTCCCTCTCCCCCCAATCCCCTCAATACTCGGCAGACACCATTTTGCCCTTATCTCTAATTTTGTTGAAGAGAGAGTATAAGCAATAATAGGAACGAACAAGGGTTTTTGCTAGTTGAGATAAGGACAGCTATACAGGGAGTTGACTCACATTAATTTCCTGTGGGTGTGTGTTACCTTCTAGGTTAATTCTTTTTGATCTAACATTTTCTATAGTTCCTGGTCCCCTTTCCTATTGGCCTCAGTTGCTTTTAAGGAATTTTTTAGGTATCTAACTTATCCTCATACCTCCCTTGTGTGCTCTTGCTTTTATCATGTGCTCAAAGTCCAATCCCCTTGTTGTGTTTGCCCTTGATCTAATGTCCACATATGAGGGAGAACATACGATTTTTGGTCTTTTGGGCCAGGCTAACCTCACTCAGAATGATGTTCTCCAATTCCATCCATTTACCAGCAAATGATAACATTTTGTTCTTCTTCATGGCTGCATAAAATTCCATTGTGTATAGATACCACATTTTCTTAATCCATTCGTCAGTAGTGGGGCATCTTGGCTGTTTCCATAACTTGGCTATTGTGAATAGTGCTGCAATAAACATGGGTGTGCAGGTGCCTCTGGAGTAACCTGTGTCACAGTCTTTTGGGTATATCCCCAAGAGTGGTATTGCTGGATCAAATGGTAGATCAATGTTTAGCTTTTTAAGTAGCCTCCAAATTTTTTTCCAGAGTGGTTGTACTAGTTTACATTCCCACCAACAGTGTAAGAGGGTTCCTTTTTCCCCATCCTCGCCAACACCTGTTGTTGGTGGTGTTGCTAATGATGGCTATTCTAACAGGGGTGAGGTGGAATCTTAGTGTGGTTTTAATTTGCATTTCCTTTATTGCTAGAGATGGTGAGCATTTTTTCATGTGTTTTTTGGCCATTTGAATTTCTTCTTTTGAGAAAGTTCTGTTTAGTTCACTTGCCCATTTCTTTATTGGTTCATTAGTTTTGGGAGAATTTAGTTTTTTAAGTTCCCTATATATTCTGGTTATCAGTCCTTTGTCTGATGTATAGCTGGCAAATATTTTCTCCCACTCTGTGGGTGTTCTCTTCAGTTTAGAGACCATTTCTTTTGATGAACAGAAGCTTTTTAGTTTTATGAGTCCCATTTATCTATGCTATCTCTTAGTTGCTGTGCTGCTGGGGTTCATTGAGAAAGTTCTTACCTATACCTACTAACTCCAGAGTATTTCCTACTCTTTCCTGTATCAACTTAGAGTTTGGTCTGATATTAAGATCCTTGATCCATTTTGAGTTAATCTTGGTATAGGGTGATATACATGGATCTAGTTTCAGTTTTTTGCAGACTGCTAACCAGTTTTCCCAGCAGTTTTTGTTGAAGAGGCTGCTATTTCTCCATCGTATATTTTTAGCTCCTTTGTCAAAGACAAGTTGGTTATAGTTGTGTGGCTTCATATCTGGGTCCTCTATTCTGTTCCACTGGTCTTCATGTCTGTTTTTGTGCCAGTACCATGCTGTTTTTATTGTTATTGCTTTGTAATATAGTTTGAAGTCAGGTATTGTGATACCTCCAGCATTGTTCTTTTGACTGAGTATTGCCTTGGCTATTCGTGGCCTCTTGTGTTTCCATATAAATTTAACGGTAGATTTTTCAATCTCTTTAATGAATGTCATTGGAATTTTGATGGGAATTGCATTAAACATGTAGATTACTTTTGGGAGTATAGACATTTTTACTATGTTGATTCTACCAATCCATGAGCATGGGAGATCTCTCCACTTTCTATAGTCTTCCTCAATCTCTTTCTTCAGAAGTTATAGTTTTCCTTGTAGAGGTCTTTCACATTTTGTTAGGTTTACACCTAGGTATTTGATTTTTTTTGAGGCTATTGTAAATGGAATTGTTTTCATATATTCTTTTTCAGTTTGTTCATTATTAGTGTATAGAAATGCTAATGATTTTTCTATGTTGATTTTATATCCTGCTACCTTGCTGTAGCTATTGATGATGTCTAGAAGCTTCTGAGTAGAGTTTTTTGGGTCTTTAAGATCATGTTGTCTGCAAATAGGGATATTTTAACAGTTTCTTTACCTATTTGTATTCCTTTTATTCCTTCTTCTTGCCTAATTGCTCTGGCTAGGAATTCCAGTACTATGTTGAATAGGAGTGGAGATAGTGGGCATCCTTGTCTGGTTCCTGATTTTAGAGGGAATGGTTTCAGTTTTTCTCCATTAAGTATAATGCTGGCTATAGGTTTGTCATATATAGCCTTTATAATGTTGAGGTACTTTCCTTCTATTCCTGGTGTTCTTAGAGCTTTTATCATGCAATGGTGTTGGATCTTATCAAAGGCTTTTTCTGCATCTATTGAGGTGATCAAGTGGTTTTTGTCTTTGCTTCTGTTAATGTGGTTTATTACGTTTATTGATTTTCATATGTTGAACCACCCCTGCATTCCTAGGATGAAGCCTACTTGGTCGTGGTGAATAATCTTTTTGATGTGTTGTTGAATTGGTTTGCCATTATTTTGTTGAGGATTTTTGCGTTAATGTTCATTAAGGAGATTGGCCTATAGTTCTCCTTTTTGGAGGTGTCTTTGCCTTGTTTTGGGATAAGTGTAATACTGCTTTCATAAAATGTGTTAGGCAGTTTTCCTTCCCTTTCTTTTCATGGGAACAGTTTAAGGAGGGTTGGTATCAGTTCTTCTTTAAAGGTCTGATAGAATTCAGCAGAGAATCCATCAGGTCCTGGACTT